AAGAGCCACTGATCATGTAGTAACTCCAGCGGGGACACACTGCACGTTCAATACTTCTTTTCCTGGTGCCCCCATCCCAGCCAGGAGCGAGAGGCAGAAAAGACACCTGAGGAGGTGGAGTACCACCCCGAGATATGGACCACAGGGAAGGGGTGGGCTGCAGGGGGTCCTTTCAGCGGCCAGAAGGACCCAGCAACAGAAGGACCAACATTAAGAGAACCCAAGTAGGGTAAGCCAAAAAGGAAGTCAGTCCCGTTTTGGGAGCTCCTGACCAGGTTGGGGGGGATGGCAGGCACCGGGACCAGCGCCCGTGGGTGTCGCTCACTTACTTTAAAGAAGAGGTAGAGCCCCAGAAGGGTGCAACTGGCAACAATGGGAAAACGAGCAGCATCTCGGCTGGTAATGGTTTCCGGCATCTCCGAGGAGTTCTGAGGAGGGAAGGAGAGGACAGGAGTGGATCAGCCTCTGCTTCGACTTCCTACCTCAGCAGGAGGTGAGCAGACACAATGAGTATGGCTCTGTGGTGGCTTCAAGAGGGGTAGGGGCACCCACTGTCCCCTCGTCATTCCCAGAGGTGGGGCTGTGTCACAGGCAGAGCCCGAGAAGGAAAAACCAAACCTCGGACTTGTCTTTCCACGGGCTGCCACAATTTACTGCTTTTTTCCTCTTGGAGAAGGGGAAAAAAAAAACCCCAACTCTGCCTGCTTGCGCTGGCATCGTTCCTTTCTCCCCATGCCCAGAGGGGAGCTGGGCTCCCTCACCGCTCACGCCCGGCCGTCCCCGACAGCCTCCCCATCTGTGCACACCATATGTCGATCACCCTCTGAACGACGTTTCTCTCCAATCACCTTTTTATCCCTCACCTCGCTCTTGGGAGGCTCCTTGTGCTCAAAAGCCCCAGATTTCTAATCCCCTTTCACCTTCCGAGACATCTTTGCACCAGCTGAAGCAGCCCCTTTTCAAGCCATTTCCCAGGAGAGACCCTCGGCTTTCAGAGGGGAGGCAGAGGGCTGCCTGCTCCCTGCCTGCTCCCCTGCCCAGCTGCTCGGAGATCTAATCTCACACAGGCAAACACCTGCGGCCAGCACCGGACAGAGTGCACGTTTAGCAGAAGCCCTTATGCAAAACAACCCCGCGAAGGAAAAACAGCTTATCTCAGGCACAGCTGCTGCCACACAGCACTCGGCGGCGCAGCAGCAAGTGCCCAAAGCACCACTGGCTCCCTGTGGTCGTGAGTGATGAAAAATCCCCCCCCCAGAACTATGTCCAGGCTCTGCTCGTGGACCTTGGTTGCTGGGCTGCTGGGAACCCCATTAAAAATCAGCTCAAACCCCTCAAGCAAGCTATAAGGCCAGGCAAGGGGCTTTAAAACAAAACAGTAATAAATGAGATTGTATCAAACAGTCCATTCTCCTGAGCTTCAGGATCTGAAGGGCTGGGATTTAAGTCCTGGTTGCTACCCAAGGCCAGGGGCAAGATGCAGAGAGCAGCACGATGGGCTGCAGGGACAGCACGGGGGGGTGCAGGCAGGAGAGTGTGGCAGCACCTCGGGGACCAGCCCCAGCGCTGCGGGACAGGGCAAGCAAAGCCACCCAGGAGTCCCCCCAACACAGCCTCTCTTGTGAAGGTATAAGAGGCGGGCACGAGTTTCTCAGCGCTTGGATTTATCAGGACACTGAGGAATGGGGCTGGAGAAGACCCCGGGGGAAGCCAGATCTCTCCCCGGGGTCCCCCGCCTCCGCCGGGGCGCAGGTCTCTCCCTTTCCAGGGACCGGAGCACCCGGAGGGGCTCTGAGGCGGAGGCGAGGCCTGGAGACCCCGGAGGGTCTCCTGGGAGGGGCGTGGGGCAGCCCCCGCTGCCGGGCAGGGGGCTGTGGGGAGGGAGCCCTGGAGGCCCCATCACCCCCGGTGGCAGCGGGGTGGGGGGTGAGGCCGGGCCGCCCCGGGGCCCGCGGGGGTACCTTGCTCTTGGCGCAGCTGACGGAGCGCAGCGCCCCGAAGAAGATGGGCAGCAGCGCCATGAGGACCAGGCTGCCGTAGGCCAGCGCCATGCCCTCGGGGGTGGCGGGCGGGCGGGCGGCAGCGGGGGACCCGGTCCCGGCCCCGGTCCCGGCCCCGGCGGCGCTGCCGTTGTGCGCCGCGGCCTCCTCCATGGCGGCTGCTCCCCCCGCAGTCCGCTTCCGGCCGGCGCGCGCCAGGGACACGTCCCCCTTACCGACCGGAAGTGCGTCAAACGGCCGACGACGCTCAGCCCCGCCCCGCCCCCGGCAAAGCCAGGCCGCGTTGCTAGGAGACCGGCGGCCCCCGCCCCGCATCCCCATCCCCGGCCCCGGCCGGGCCTGTCCCTCCCCGCCCGGACCCCGCGGTGCGAGGAGCGGGTGGGAGCCCCAGAGAGATCCCTGCAGGCCAGGGGAGGGGGCTGGCTCCACGCAGCCCCCGGCCGCGAGAGGGAAGGCGGTAGCTTCAGCCACCATCAGCCCCAGCGATGCTGGGGGGGGATCCCGGCCCTCTCCTCCTTCCAGCCCTGGGTCTTCCTGCCCTTCGCCATCTCCCCAGCACCCCTCCAGTGCTCCCAGCCCTCTCCCCCTTCCAGCCCTCGATATTCCTGCCCTTCGCCATCTCCCCAGGACCCCTCCAGTACTCCCAGCCCTCTCCTTCCAGCCCTGGGTCTTCATGCCTTTCGCCATCTCCCTGGCACCCCTCCAGTGCTCCCAGCCCTCTCCTCCTTCCAACCCTGGGTTTTCCTTCCCTTCACCGTCTCCCCAGCTCCCCTCCAGTGCTCTCAGCCCACCCATGGCCGCACTCGGCA